CGCCTTCTATGTGAAGCTGCAGGCAACTCTAGTGTTCCATTTTTTCAATATAAAGAAATTGAAAGGGCCACTAATGGCTTCTCAGAGAAACAAAGGCTAGGAACTGGAGCCTATGGTACAGTTTATTCAGGAAAACTCCACAATGATGATTTGGTTGCAATAAAAAAGATCAAACAGAGAGATACTGACAGCCTTGATCTAGTCATGAATGAAATAAAGCTCCTTTCATCAGTAAGCCATCCAAATCTGGTTCGTCTTTTAGGCTGTTGCCTAGAGGAGGGAGAACCAATCCTAGTCTATGAATTTATGCCTAATGGAACTTTGTGTCAGCACCTACAACGAGAGAGGGGCAATGGGCTTCCATGGACTGTTAGGCTTACCGTTGCTGCTGAAACTGCTAATGCCATTGCGTATCTCCATTCAGTCGTGAATCCACCAATTTACCACCGAGACATAAAATCTAGCAACATACTATTGGATTACAACTATAGATCAAAGGTAGCTGATTTTGGTCTTTCCAGACTTGGCATGGAAGAATCATCTCACATATCAACCGCCCCGCAAGGAACTCCAGGCTATCTTGATCCTCAATACCATCAATATTTCCATCTTTCTGATAAAAGTGATGTTTACAGTTTTGGGGTGGTTCTTGTAGAGATCATAACTGCACAGAAAGTAGTTGATTTTTCTCGCCCACACAGTGAGGTTAATTTGGCTGCACTTGCTATTGATAGGATTGGAAGAGGTTGTGTCGATGAGATAGTAGATCCATATCTTGACCCAGATAGAGATGCCTGGACCTTATCATCAATTCATAGCGTGGCTGAACTTGCTTTTAGATGCCTTGCTTTTCATAGGGATATGAGACCTACTATGATGGAAGTTGCAGAAGAGCTTGAACAGATTAGGCTTAGTGCATGGGTCCCCACCATGTACATGGCATCACCGTCATCTTCCTCTCATTTCTCGGACCATGGAAGTCAGAAATCACTGAGTGTCTCTGTTGGTAAAAAGGCAGCGGTAGCTAGTCGGAGGTTACTTGTTCCACAGAGAACAGATAGTCTGACTTCTTTGGAAGAGGTGAAGGATAGCTCTCCAGTTTCTGTGCAGGATCCTTGGTTGAGTGAACAGAGCTCACCATCAACAAACAGCCTGTTGGGTAATGTAGTTCATTGACAACAAACCTGTTTCTTTTGGGTGCTTGGATTCAAATCTTTCTTGTGAATACAATCTAGGAATTTGCAGTTTCCTATAACCACCTTGCTACATATTTCTCTTACAGAAATCATATCTTGTATGCTTTACCTAGTCATCGTCTCCTTCAAACATCTTTCGTCTGTCAATGTTGAAACAGAACATACAAAAGTCAATATTAAATAGATTCTATATATGTTCAGTAAGAACATGGAGTGAATGTTTTCATCCATGGTTACTAAATTAAATTAAAAGAAACCTAAAAGAGATGGTGATTTCACTGTTCATCATTTCAATAGTGTTTTGCCTTTTTCCTGTCCTGTTCAAGTTTTTTCATTTCTCCTTTTATTAAACTATTTTTTCCTTTCATTTTCATTCTTTTACATTATTCTGATTTATGCTGATTGAGAATGGAAATTAGTAATTTATTTTAATTTGATTTTTATAAAGTTATTGTGGTGTCAAAAAAAAATATTTTGACATTATGTTGATACTTGATTTTGCAAAAAAATAATTTTATTTTGTTGTTTATTGAAAAATTGAAAATGAGAGGACCAAAATTGATAATGAAGAAAAAATGTAGGGTTTTTTTTATTTTTTTCTTTTTGCATTTTAATATCCTTTTAGTTTGATAATTATATGTTTTGGTTTAAAATTTCATTTTATTTATATTTCAATCTTTTAGTTAAAAAAAAAAGAATAATTGGAAAACTATGAAGGAAAAAAGAAAGCGATCTCTTGACTAGATTTAATTAAAAAAAAAAAAGAGCTAAAATTTGTGTCAATCCGTTTCTCTCGACGAGGAGTGCCATTAAAGTATTTCTAAGTTTTAAATTGGATTGAAAAGATTTTTTATTTAATTTTGTTTTAATAAATTGATTTAACATTATTTTGAATTGAGAAATTAATTTATTGAGATTTTAAAAATAATTTTTTAGTTAAAATAAATTAAAAATATTTTTTTGCGGTCCGATATGCTATAGCTTGATTTTCTAGTCACATCCCCGCTAACTCAAATATAGACAAATAAATTATACATCATTTGCTTTAATTTTAAAATAAAAAATAAAAAAATGGACGACATATCATCCTTCCTTGCACAAACAAGAAAAAGATATGATATTTAAATTATTATCCAATTTTATCATGATTCTTAAATAATATTATAGATTTTTATGTAAACATTAACAATTTTGTTTTCAATTATTATGTATCTAATATGCAAAAATAAAAAAGTAAAAAATAGCTCATGAATATTTAATGAACATAAAATTTATTTATATTTTTGATAGATTTTTTATATGATTTTGTTATATTTCTTATTTTTTTCTCTTTCAATCATGTACAAAATATTGAGACATTATTTTAATATTTTTTAAAAAAACTTGTTTTTGAGATAGACCTTATTTTTAATATATTCTTCTAAAATATGTTTTTGGGATAATGATAGATTTATATTTTTAAAAAATGACTGCAATAAAAAAAATGCTTTTGTTAAAAAATAGTGGGATGCGTTAAAAAGAAATAAAGTTTAGATTAATGAAATATATTTCTTCTTAATAATTTTATTCTTTATTTTTCATGTAAATATTTCTTTTTGTAATTATTTAATTAAATAAAAAAATGAATTTCAAAAGAAAGCTTATTTAACCTGATAAAAGCCATGATCTAGGCCATAAGTTGAGTGAGTTAATTCGACTTAATTTAGGATATGAATTGAGTAGGTTAACCTAATTTGATCTTGATCAATCCAAAACATTATCGTTCTTATATTTTTTTTATAAAATAAATAAATCAACATCACTTTTAGTTTAATGAATGATTGAGTTTTTTTATTTCAAAGATTTAAGTAACTTAGGGGAAATAAAATTATAATTTCCTGACGAAAACTTTTGAATAAAAAATGAAATTAAGTATAATTTGAAAAAAAAATTAAAAAGAAAACCTTTAAGGATGGAAATGGGGATTTCGATCCTATGTGTTTTGTGAGGAAAAAGAAAGGTTATTTAGTAAGTGAATGTGTATCCTAAAAGAATTTATCATCATTTAGTGTGTTAAGTATAAAATTTGGATGAGTATAAGTTAATCTTGAAAGGAAAGAAAAACTTAAAATTTAAAGGATGAAGGTTTGATTAGAGAGTAAAAGAAGAAGGAAACTTTCCTTGAAAATGGCTAAATCAATTTAAAAAATAATGAAATTGTTTTGGTTACTTTTTTATGGTAGCTTGATTCTATGTTTTGGCTTTTTATTGGTTTTCTTTGATTCTTTTAGGTTAATTAGGGAAGATAAGTGATTATTATATAGAAAATAAAAGCATAACATGTATGCATTTATATGATAACATTGTTTAATGCATGCATGAAATAAGCTCATATGATAATATTGTTTATATTGGAACGTTAAAAGTATAAATTTTAAGTTTAATATGAGATGATATAAAAATACATATATTCATAAGTAAAAAATAGTCAAATTATTAAAAAAATATTAAGAAGTACATTCTTGATATTTAAAGAATTAATTTAATATAAAACTTTGAGTGATGTAGAAAAGATATTGGTTATAGAATCCTAGGTAAGCGGGATAGAACTAGTGAGAGGAACATGTAAGTACTTATTATCTCAATTTTCTTAATTTTTAGCATTAATTCAATGTTTCATTTCTAAGTTGTACTCCAAGAAGATGTTTATGCAAAGTAATAAAATAATTAAAGACTAGTGGAATCTTGTTAAACATGTACTTTAAATTGTGTTATGTATATAGAAGCTGACCATATAAGTAAGGCTTGAAATAATGAGTTATAAAATTACCATGTGATTATATAATTACGTGAAAACCAATTCTATAGTGGAAAATTTAGTTTAAAAATAACCATATATGTGAGGCTTAAAATGAATATTTCAAGTTAGCTATAAAAATTGAGAACTCAACCATTAAGTTAAGATACTAATCATAGGATATTTGTCAAACATGAGATAACTATGCAAGAAGAATTAAAAAAAATATTAATATATATTTTGAGAAAGATTGTCTAATTAGAATTTAAATTGTTTATATAATTACATAACTGTTTAATTAATTAAAATTTAAAAATTTTATCTTAAAGTGAAGAGCTTGTTGCATTTAAAGTTAGAACACTAAATTTAGATATAAAATTATATAACATGTGTTGAAGAGGAGTTTTAGAGTTTTAAATATTATATGATTTATTAGAATATTTCAAGAATGGATACTTAAAATGCCTTTAAAAAAATTAGGATTTTGTAGTTAACTCAGTATCCAAACTTATTCTAATATTAAATTTTAAATGATAAAGAAAAAAATAATAAATTTATTATATGAATTTACTGTGAATATATACACAATAATCTCTTTTAATATTTTTTATAATCTTAATTTAATAAATTTTACAGTTATTGACTCGGAAACCACCTAGAATATATTAAATTGAAAGTGGTATTGTTATGCCTCTATTAATTTTTTTCTATTGTGTGATAAAGAATTTATTATTATTATTATTATTATTATTATTGTTATTGTTATTAGAATTCAAATCACAAGGGCTCTTTTTTATTGAATATTTAATTGAACAAACACCATGATTATACATATAGATTAAAACATAATATTAGTAACAATGTGATTCGACATCTGACCTTTTTATTCAAGAAATTAGCAGTGCTAATAATTTATAATTAATTATTTCAAAGCGCATCAACTAAATAAAATGTAGTAGTGTTGGGAAAATGATAACAAATGCTCTTTATATATATATATATATAAAAAAGAGTGCTAGTTGGTTTGGTGTCAGCAAGTTCCAATGACACGGTCGACATAAAAAAAGGAGGGCTTTGCCTATAAAAGCACGCAAAACATCTTCTCTCCGTTTTCATTTTCGTTTCTCTTCGAAATCGACATAATGGCTTCGGAATCCTCAGTAACCGAACCGAAAACTGCCCCCATAGAAAACCAAACCTCTGTTGAAGCCACCATCAAAGGATCCACCACCACCTCCTCTCAAGGTGGAGCCGCTGACTCCACCTGCAACGACGACAACAATGGAGAGACTTCAGACCCTCACAAGTCTCTAGATTTCGCTGTTGAGTTATCAGAGAAAGGAACTAACGCGCTTAAAGAAAATGACTTCAGTGAAGCCGTAGAATGCTTTAGCCGTGCCCTTGAAATCAGGTTAGGGTTTTCATTTCATTTCACTGTCTAGTTTGGTTTTTGATCAGTGAAAAATTTGCAATTAAGTAGTCGAATCTCTGCCCTATTGATGGGTTTTGGTACCTTTTGATTTTAGGGTTTTTGTAAGGTATAGCTTTCCTCGTTAAAAATGTGGTTATTTTCCAATTTTTACAGATTGAATGTGTTTGAAATTTTTTTTGTGGGATTAGGAGTGCCAAGTTTCGAAATTATCTACTTTAATTGAAAGAATTTGATGTTTATGAAAATACGTATTTTTAGCATTTGGTATGTTAGGGTATATGTAATCAGGACCTTCAGGTTAAAGGAGAGCAAGAAATGGATGCTGTGATTTTATGAATTTTAGTTATGAAATGTCTAGGTGTAAGCAATGACAAATTTTCTTTAGTCATAATTAGAGTGTGAAGTTTTACAGGTTTTAACTTGTTGTGAATGAATTTGATATTTTTGAAAGCGGGAGTGAGAATTTGCTCTAATATATCTTTTCGAATTTGTATGGAGCTTTTGAGATTGTTTGTTATGTCATGTGTCCCTGATTTCTTCATATATATATATATATAATGCTTTTAGGGTTTTGCATCATGGTGAGCTGGCACTTGAATGTGTGAATGCGTACTATCTATATGGACGTGCACTGTTGTATAAAGCACAGGAGGAGGCTGATCCGTTGGCTATGGTACCAAAGAAGGATAGTGAATCTAAACAAGATGATAATAAAGATGGAGCTTGTAGGAATTTTGTAAATGGAGAATTTTCCTCTGCTTCTGTTTCTATTAATGTTGAAGAGGGTGGGGGTTCTAATCATCCTGAAGGTGCAGCTGGTGGCGGTCAGTATTTTGTTGCTCAAAATGTTTGTTCATTAGTTGCCATAGTATAACATGCTAGTAAATAAGTTACTTTTTTTTTAACGTCTATTTGTATTTACCAACATTCAATTTCTTTTCTTTAAACTTATGTGATGTTTTGGGTGCAATATCTAATCAGTAATTGGTTTAAATACGTGAAAATGATTTAAACTGAACCATGAACTTCACAAGTTCAACCATATATTGTTCTTTTGATGCTTAAAGGTAATTGGTCTCTCTCTATCTCCATGGTTTGGAGATTGTTTGTTTAAAGAAAATTCTACTTGTGGTGGGATTTGATATTTCTGCTTCCTTTGATGCTTAAAGAATTGCAACATATATTTTGCATATTTTTGTCTCCGCACAAGCATGGAATCCATGCTTGCAAGGTACTTGATATGCTGACAATAAACAGTATGCATGAATTTGCATCAAGTTCGTTTGCATTCTTGATCAAAATTACTGTCAATGGCTTTTGATCCTTCAACATTCTTTTCTCCTCTATGCACATGCACATGCAGACACACATCCATTAAAGATCTATTTTGAGCTAAAGGTATTTGAGATGGTTTTCATGGAAAATGACCAAATGATTTTGTATGCCCTAAAATGGTGGGAAGGCCAAGCCTGGGATTGGACCTAAGCTGCTGTCTCTAGGTCGAGTAGGGCTAGTAGTAGCATCAATCTAATGGTTAAAATATTTCAGAATATTCCTTGCTATGATCTCTTTATTCTGTTACAGCTTCTAGTGGGAAGGAAAAAGAAGAAGAAGAAGATGATGAGGGAAGTGACGATGAGGATCTTGCTGAAGCAGATGAAGAAGAGTCTGACCTTGATTTGGCATGGAAAATGCTAGATGTTGCCAGAGCAATTGCTGAAAAACACCTCGATGACACGATGGATAAAGTTGACATTCTATCAGCACTGGCAGAAGTTGCATTGGAAAGAGGTCTGTCTGTTTATGCATCTATTTGAGTTGAATTTCCAAATATGAAGATGCTTTTGGTTTTATTAAAAATAAAATAAACACACATTACCAAATTTGCAATTGCTTCTCAATGCCTCTTGCTTGGTTTAAATGGGTGTCGTATTTTCTTTCTTTCATTCATTTTTTGTGCGTGTGCATCATGCAGAGGATATAGAAACATCTCTCAGCGACTACCAGAAAGCACTATCCATTTTAGAAAGGCTTGTTGAACCAGACAGTAGACATTTAGCAGAACTGTATCCTTATCAAGGTTTTGATACTCCCCTGTATTGAGATTATAAGTATGACATCATCAGCTTATTTATTCTCCTGGTCCTGTTAAATGTAATGATAGAGTCATATTTGTTTTGCCTGGGCCAATGACTTTGTCAATTTTGGGATTCCATTGTCTTATTTACCTTGCTACAGCTTTAACTGTACAATTCAGAAATTTTCGAATATGTTTGTGTCTGGAGATTGGGTCTAAGCCTCAGGAAGCAATCCCTTATTGCCAGGAGGCTATATCAGTTTGTAAGGCACGGTTGCAGCGGCTCATCAAAGAAGTAAAGAGTTCCACAGAGTCAGCAACATCGTCAGCTGTTTCTGAATTAGATGAGGGTGTCCAGCAGTCGTCCAATGTGCAGGCTGATAAATCTGTGACAGATAAAGAAGCAGAGATTGAAACACTTTCTGGCTTGTCTGCAGAGCTGGAAAAGAAGGTCAGAGCTGCTAGCCTCTGTGCAAGTGTTAGAATCTCTTTTAAACCATCCAGAGTTAAATTGTGCATCTGTATTTGCAGCTTGAAGATCTACAACAGCTGGTCCTGAACCCAAAGTCCATTCTTGCAGAAATCCTTGGAATGGTGTCTGACAAGGCAAAATGTGGTGAGAAAAGTGCATCTCCAAATCTCATGAGCTCTTCTCAGTTGGATGTTGCTAATAGTGGTGGAAGTTTTGACTCTCCAACCATTTCCTCTGCTCACACAAATGGGGTGTTGGGAGTCACAGATCTTGGTGTTGCGGGAAGAGGAGTTAAGCGAGTTTTGACGAGTACAGGGTCGGTAGGATCATCAAGCACAGTGAAGAAACCCACCCCAGATCCCTTATCTGACAAAGGGGATGGAAAAACCTGTTAGTGGTTCTGAGTCTGAATGGTCAGTGATTTCGTGTTCATAATGCAAGCTGTTAAAGATTCTAGCGTTAACAAATATAACCATTCAAATATTTATGTCATGGGTCCCTGAGGACTGCTTGCTTGGTCTTGCTTGGTGACCGGTGTTCTAGCTAGTGTTAATGTGCTAATTGTCATGCAGGTGGCAGTAACTTCCCTATGTTCTTTCCATGATATGACTTTGGAGAGCAATACTTTATTAGCACCTTGTAAAATCTTTTCCTGTATCAGTTGTACTAACATGATAGTGTACTGTATTAATACTGGGAGGAATGGACTGTTTGAATCCATATTTCAGTGTTGAAATGGTGCTTTGTACTTGGGACTATTATCATGCCTTGGAGGCTTCGTTAGCCAGCTCTTTCTGGGTCCTCTACACTGTATGTAAGAGGATATCTGCTCTTAAAAATTTCACGTCAACCCTATGGCTTCTGTCAGCGATGAATGATTGCTGGGAAATCTTTTGGTCAATGTTCCATTTCCTCTGTTCGGGGAATTGTAGCTCTGGTTGCACGAATTTATAGTCATGCATGCACATACACATTGAATTTGGTGGAGCACTATTTAGGGATAATATAAGTTCGATCCTGGATGATTTTCTTAGTGAGTTGAACATGTTATGTGGTCAGATGTGACAGAGCGATGCTGATATGTTGGATTAGGTTCCCTATGATTTTTCATATTTTCTGATTCAGCACCAATTTCAGATTGAAGCATGATCCCATCATATTGAGTTGGGAATTATGGCTGAAAGAAACAGATCATGTGAAACCAGATTATATGCAGGGCCACTAGTAATGGTAGGAATAATAGTGTGAGGACCATCGGTGGCAATTACTCATGACTGAAAATTTATATGGAGCAAAACTATGAATTTCAAGTTTGGAATATGGAGATAGCTAGCTTTTGGCACAATCCAAAGCAAACCCACTTTTCGTTGGTGGCGAGAGCAATGGTAAAGCTTTTGGCACAATCCAAAGCAAACCCAATTTAAACTATCATTTAAAAAACTATCCAAAGCAAAACTATCATTTAACCATTAGTCATCATCATTTTACCAAAGCAAACCCAATTTAAATGATGACTTGTAATTGTTTTTTTTTATTAGTTTTATATGCTTTTTAAAATATTTTTGATTTAAAAATATATTAAAATATTTATTTTTTATTTTTTAAAATGTATTTTTGATATTACCATATCAAAACAATTAATAAATACTAAGAAAAAAAATTAATTTAAAATAAAATAATAATCTTTTTAAAAAACATAATTTGACCACAAAAACGAAAACTACAATATTTTGTATTTCTACTATGTATCTGATGGCATGACATCAGACAAGAACAATTCTTCTTGTTGTAAGTTTCCATCGTGCGTCCACCTAGTACGTACAAATTACGATGATACGAGGAGAACTTGTAAATGGTTATCTATCTGATCAGGGAAAGGATCATTGGATGCTACGATGCGGCAGCTTTTTTATTTTTGCAACCACTTGACTGGAATATCAAAAGCTCCAGGTCTGAACGACACGCATGGCACCAGGCAGATCGATGATTTCGATTACAATTAGTTTAATTTACAGTAAAAAGGAAGATTTTGTGATGCAAAGGTCGATAACATCAAAGGAAGATCATTGCTTTATAACTGAAGGTGGACAAGAGAGGTGAAGCAGCATCGATAGCATACAAGCTCTGAGTCCAGGACTGCTAAAATCATGTGCTACAGAGTAGAGTGCAAGCAATGCAAAAAATATTCCTGGGGTGGATGCGGCGAGCACCTCGCCACCCTTTATGCAAAGCATAGATAAGGGGAAGCACTGCCTGTGCAAGTCATGGCCTGGTGTTGTCGTCCCTACCGAGGAGACAGCTACTGAGCAAACACCATCTGGAGTTGTATCAACTTCAGCTACTACCACTGCAGGTATTTCTCGATTTTTGCACTGACTGAACGGTCTACTGAAATGGTTTCTTGTAAATATCTTGGTTTTTTTTTTAAAAAAAAAAAATAGGCAGATGGTGTCATGTGGTTTGATCCGCATCGTTTTCTCAAGTATTTTGATGTCATTACATTGAGTGCCATATCAGTTATGCTTCCAAGATCCCGCCCCCTCTAATTTTTAATGTTAGCAGGCATGAATTCTGTGTTATCTGCAGATTTATAGGGAGTAACAGCCCTTGCAAGTAATGGGATTTCTTGATTTTTCTTTCAGATTCAAGGAAACTACAGACCCTTATCTATTTATTAATATTTCACATCGACCCTTATAGTTTAAGAGTTTTCAATGTTACCCTTATAGTTCTTATAAAGTTTCAATTTTTCCTTTTACTATCTGTTAACTAACTAGCAAGCAAAAAGCTAACTTCTTCGTATTTTTTATCTTGATTGTTACTTATTTCCCCTTTCATGCCCAAGTATATGTTATAATATTTTACAAAAACATTTAGAAACATATATGAGAACTCAAAAATCAAATTTAAATATTAGGCTATTTAATGATTATGGGTAATATTGGAACTTTCAGAAAATTAGAAGGACAACATTAAAAAGTTTTAGAATACAAAGTTGGGGTAAAATTGAAGTTTATATATGTGCGTGAGGATATGTATATGTATAATCACTTCTTTTTTGGGTACAATATGTATGTAGTTGTTGAAATTTTATTAATATTATGGTAGATATTATTTTTTAAAGTATTTTGTTATAAATATATTAAAATATTTTTTTGTTTTTAAAAATTTATTTTTAATATTAATACATTAAAATAATTTAAAAAATAGAATTGGTCCCAATATTTTATGATTCCTTCTTTTAATTGACATAAGACAAAAAAGAGAAGAAATTTAACTATTGATATTGCCATCTTGTTGGAAATATGTTGGAACGCTAATCGTAAAGGTGTGAGAGAGAGATACAAAACTTTTTAAATATAGCATATTGAAATTTATTTAATTAATTTTTAATTCAATTTTTCTTTTCCATTGTTCTTGGGGATATAAAATTTGTCTAAGTAAAAGTTCTCTTGATTATTATTATTTTTTATTATAGTCACTCTAAATTCTTAAGATGATACAAAACTTTTTAAATATAACATACTGAAATTTATTTAATTAATTTTTAATTCAATTTTTCTTTTCTATTGTTTTTAGGGATATAAAATCTATCTAAATAAAATTCTCTTGATTATTATTATTTTTTATTGCAGTCACTCAGAATTTTTAAGATGGATGCTGGACAAAGAGTGCACTATTAGAGAGTCATGGTGTGGTGTGGATGCATTGTTTCCTTACATAATATTTACCTAAGCTTTGTTATCACATAAAAGTAGCTAATAATGTAATGAAGTGTGATTATGGTCCTTTTTTTTTCAATTGTCATTTTTAAGGTTATAGAAAGCATCTATATGTGTCACATAAAGAGCTCTGAAATCTACATGTGTAATTATGTGAATTCTTGAAAGATGAAGAAGAGCAACAACATTACCACCTCCTCTAATATTCTAAATTATTAAAGTGAACAACAAGTAGGAAGGTTTTTGTTCTCTCCTTAAAAAGATATTGGTAAAATAGTACAACCTAGAAAATATTTAAGGACCAAACATTGTTTTATGATTCATAATTGTTATTTATGACTTTCATGTGATAATTGACAATGATTGTGATTCAATTAAGTTATTTATGACTTTCATGTGATAATTGAGATTGTCATTCAATTTAAAAAAATATTCAGAAACAATGCTTATAGGTTTTAACTCCAAACAAAACAAAAACCAACCCAATTCCATCAATATGTCCAATACAAATTCAATCATAATTCACAATCTAAAATCACAATTAAACATAATGATTCATATAACATAATACTTTATTAAAATTAAACTAATTACATCTAATCATCTATTTATAATTTTTATAACATTATACTATATAATTTAACTACATCTAAAAATCATCCCAGCTTATAAACCGATTTGGAGTGCTTGTGGACGAGTCTAAACCACTACCCCAACTCATCCAAGTTGAGGATGAGTATGTAGCACTCGTGTAGGGGTCAACACTAATATCATCCTAGCTCATAAATATGTTTGGTATACTAATGGATGGACCAATATCTTCGACACTTTCATGATAAGCAATCTCATATTTTGTTGATGCCGATTCGAGACTTTCAACCTTCTCAACTTTCTAAAATCCACCGTCATAAATATGTTTGGTATACTAATGGATGAACCAATATCTTCGACACTTTCATGATAAACAATCTCATATTTTGCTGATGCTGATTCGAGACTTTCAATCTTCTCAACTTTCTAAAATCCACCATGATATAAATTGAGTATAGTGTAGGCCATAATACATTTTATCTCATCAACATCTTTACAGATAGCCGTCGTTGTTTTCTGAGCCTTTTGTAATATATAATGAATCTATTTACATATATTCAAAAGTAATTAGCACTCATCATTTATAATAACATTAACAATATTTAATTGATGTTATATCTAAAAAATATTGCATACAAATTAATTATATCTTACATACCAAAGTGCATAATGCATCAGATTGTGTGAATATCTCGAGAAACGCACTATGTAGGTGTAATAAACTAGCATGTAATATAAAAATACCCCATGTAGATATCTAGATCAATTATCAGATTTCACTCCTCAAATACTTGATTTCTCATATCTAATTTCTCATATCATCCCAAAGATCAGGGTAAGTTGTATGAATCACCAACCAGTCCCTTTCATGCTTACCCTAATGACTGATATTATGCAACTGATCATCACTAACATCAATATAACCTGGTATATGTTGAGATAAATTAAACTGTTGTATTACTTGATCAGACAATGCATAACAACTATATTGAAGTAATGTAGTGGGACATGTGCTAACTAGATGTCAAATCTTTTATGGCATATAGATGCAACTGATAGTATCAAATCATTGGTATATGTCATCTATATAACCTATAAAGACATATTAAATACTTATATTAGTAAAAAATCAATGTCCAAATAAAAAAAAAGTTATAAATTTATAATTCATACGCTTTTAAGAGTTGAACTCCTCTTGTTAAACTCATGAACATGAATGAAATTTATTATAAAATATCTAGTTTGAACCATCTAACATGACAAACCACAAAGTTAATATATTTTTTGCATTTAATTTATATAAATAACATTTTATTCAAAATTATTTATTCTATTGTTAACTAGATCCAATGGATAATGGCTTCTGAGTGTTAATGTCGAACATATTATTATCCTAGCTCTCTAGAT